CCATCTAATATACTCGCCTGTTTTACCTTTATCATAGGTGTCGTCATAGTACATAAAGTGGCTATGTGGGTCGCGCAGCATCTTGGTATTTGAATTTTACATTTTTAAAATTCAAATCCGTAACCGAAATTATCCGAAACTTTCGGATAATCCGAAATGATATTTTCATATCCGTAACCGTATCCGAAATCGGTATAATATTATTCCAATATCCGTAACCGTATCCATAACCTAAACTAGATATGCTTAACATCTCTAGCCTATAATAGGTATTCGACAGACCTGCACCTAATGGCTCGCTTTGGGACTAATTACTAATTACAGCAGTTACTAATTGACGGTGGGAAGGTATGCGACCAATGATGGGCTGCCGGAGATGTAAGAGCCGAAACATCTGATTAGGCTTAATGAAATTGCTGAAATTTTCCCTGATATTCATGAGCTGCTGATACAAGCGGGGTAAATTCAATAGCTGCTTATTACCATTGTTAGTTTTTAAGAATTTATTTACATCTAGGTGTACCTAACTAAAATTATATGTTCATCAACAGTTCGTCGTAAATGACGCCCAATTTGCTTAGAAAGTTTTATATTATTTATAGCTTTTGCCCGCGGCTTCACCCGCGTGAAATTCAATTTGTCACATGGTCATAATTATAGCATTTAAGTTATTCTGGGTTATAAACAATAATACTGTAAAGTTTCATCGAAATCCGTTAAGTAGTTTTTGCGTGAAAGAGTAACAAACAAACAAAACATCCACAAACTTACGGGTAGCATTAGTAGGTTATTATTTTACTCATCATTATCATCATTTCAGCCATAGGACTTCCACTGCTGAACATAGGCCTCCCCCAATACTTTCCACGTACGCAGAACTGACGGTCGATGGGGCAGCAAGGTTCTGGAATGGAGGCCGCGTACCGGAAAACGCAGCGTGGGACTCCACCTACAAGGTGGACCGACGACATCGTATTTTACTAATAGGTTTTGCAACTTTTTTGTTTCTTAAATTCTCCATACAAAACGGCAATTTCGTAAATACCTTATTAACACATTGCATGTGCCAATTTTAAACGTTTTCCGTAGTATGAAAATCATTGTACTAACCAATGCCGCTATTTGTGGTCGAAGTGGTTATCACCCTGACCGCGTATCGGCCGATGAGAGCCATCGCGTGATTCCGGGATTATTAACTAAAAATACATAAGGAAATACATAAATACGTTTCTATGTTTGTATAAGTAGCAATTATAAAAAAATACGATTTGAGGCTTTTAATTTTTTTTCGGGGCTCAATGTAAACAGCTAGAATTCGCTGCTGTCTTTCTGAAACCTATAATCCGGGCCTCTTCAAAGCACGAGTGACTAGGCATTTACTAGGCAGGTATGATACGCTAGACTTCATCTCACTTAACATCAGGTGCTATTGCAAAAATTGTTTACAAAATCCATGAAACGAATTTTCATTAAGTATATTATAATTTGATATGAAGACTACCTTGTAAAATTGGCACAGAACTCACGCTTGCAAACGACGTCTTCCATACTTTGACAACTTGAACACGAAACTGAAGACACGCTCAGACCTAATGCCGGTAAATTGGCTCCAAGTCTTGGACCCAATACACCAATGGTAAGGCCAAGACCGATCTACACATTGGTGTATTCGATCCAAGACTATAACTTGGAGCCAATATACCATATGTGTCGTGCTGGCATAAGGATCAGGGCTCGGGCACGTTTTTTACGTCACAAGACCTTTAGAAATAAATAGTTTTATTTATGTAGGCGTAATATAAGTTGTTTTTACATCATTTTATATTACTTATTTACATCAAATTGACTGGCTCGTCTCAAGCCAGGCAGTGTAAGCTTAAACTTATTATTTCTAATAAAGGTTAATGAGGATTATACTTGAAATTAAAATAAAATATAATAAAACATCATAAACAAAACAAGGTCCTACAAATTAGTTTGGCTAAAAAGAGCTTAAAAGCTGGTAAGAAAATTGGTACCTATTAAATTCATAACTCCTTACAAAGCTTACTTAATTAGAAACAAACACTGAAATGCTCTTATTTTTTAATTTAAAACTAATATTCTTATTTTTGAGTTTAACAATACAACGTGCTCCTTCTGATTTTCGGAAATTTTAGAGTTATTCTATGAATAAAAACTAGGAAAAATGTTTTAAGAACATGTGTAGGTATTTTTACATGGTTATTTAATTAAGGTGAATTATTATTTCCTGGCGTGATCGAATCAGAAATGAGGAGATCCGTAGGAGAACCAAAGTGACTAAAAAGCGCTAAAATCAAGTGACAGTGGGCGGGGCACATAGCTCGAGAGCTGATGGCCGCTGGGGCAGGAAAGTTCTTGAGTGGCGACCACGAGCCGGAAGACGTAGCGTAGGCAGGCCTCCCACTAGGTGGACCGACGATCTGGTGAAGGTCGCGGGAGGTACCTGGATGCGAGCGGCGCAGGACCGGTCTTTGTGGACATCCTTGGGGAAGACCTTTGTCCAGCAGTGGACGTCTTTCGGCTGAAACGAACGAACGAACGAACGATTATTTCCTATGTAGAAAAAAAATTGTTGAATTAAAAAAATATGCCATTCGATTCTTTGAAGTGGTTTTATTAATAGGTACCCTAGAGTTCCAAGGGAATCAAAAAGACCACGTTGTATATTACTAACTTTACATATAGAGACAAAACTTTTCCCTGTGATATTCCTAGGAATATTTTTGCCAATACTGCCAAGTTATGTGTCGTTTTGTAAAGATTTCCTTCACAATTTGTTGTGTCAGTGCCACACCTGTGTCACGCTGTGGAAGCGAACGGGAATGTGCCCGCTGCACGTTGGATGAAAGGCATTCATGCCTTTGAACGTTCGACTTCTGACTTATTCACGTAACATTTTTAAAATTTTGGATGTTGTAACTTAAGTAAATACTTTAAACACCTGAAAAATCGTAGTCTGGTGCAATGGTGGTCTGGCACAGTGTATAAAAAACTGTCAAATCTGACAGACACTGAAAATGGATTTGATTTCAGTCCACACAATAGTTTAAGCCAATCAGTTTCGATTGATGTTCCGAATAAATGCTGTAAAACCTTAACTTCGTCACAAAATATCGAATCACATTCGGAACACGGGGGCCTCGTATAGCGTTCGTTAATTGTTTTGTTTTGGCATGAATTATTCAAAGCCGATTGTGAACCAGGTCAGGGAGTGGTTCAGCTTTGCTTGGTAAGGGATGCGTTTAATTTCATAAAAATGAAACATAGAGTCACGTTTCGTTACACTTTTCGGGAGTTTGTGCCTTTATAGATTCAAATGACACGAAAATACGAATTTATCAGCTCAGTGGCTGATACGGATGGATCCATCTCTGTGGCAAAATTTCTCTACAGTCGTTACTCGATATTACTATAAAATCTCGGTCAACCGCAATTTATGGCAGTACACTAAGTATAGATAGCACTTTTAGTTGCTTTTCTATATAACGTCCTAACGCACCTACATTATGTAAAGATGTTTTAGAACATCTCTCAAAATTCCTCTACATTTTCAACCACATATCGGGAATATCGCCGTAACCTAATTCTAGAACATTTTAGGATGACGCGATGCAAACTGTAAGTGGATTTTAGGGTGACTCGATTATTCTGCCTACCCGCGGCAGATGTGTAGTTTTGTAACTCGTATTTGAGTTGCGCCCAGCAAAAATCTAATTCCGATGCAGTCGGGTAGTAATCGAGGAAGGACGGAGAACGGTAACTAGTTCATCGGCAATTGACGGTCTAAGCTGTGACGAGATTTTGCGGCCTGAGGGGATCTAGCGACCGGCAATTTTAAAAATAACGGATAAGATCCAGGACACGGTGAAGCTTTTTTCTTTTTGCTTGCAATATTGACACGTTAGGTTACGTAAAATACAAGAGCTCTGCTGCTGAAATTATTTTGACGATACTAAATACAGTGACATCTTGTAGTTAGTGTTATATTGAAACATATAAAAAGTGACTGACTGGCTGACTGACATAGTGATCTATCAATGCACAGCCCAAACCACTTAACGGATTGAGCTGAAATTTGGCATGTAGATGTTATGACATAGGCATCCGCTAAGAAAGGATTTTATGAAAATCCACCCCTAAGGGGGTAAAACGAGATCCACGCGTACGAAGTCGCGGGCGGTCGCTAAAGTATAGTGACTCTTACCTACCAAAATATAATGGACAGACGAATTTTAGAAAGCCGAAATTTAGAATCACTGAAACAGTTTCTATCCATAACGACTTCAGTCCCTAAAATGTATTTACACTGAACTAAAGCGGGGTTTATGACATATCCAGCTTACTAATAGTATGCTAGTTCCCAGCATACATCGGTTTCCCAAAACCAGGCATTAGCCTGCCCTAAATCCAACTACTTACTCGCAAAATGCGATGTGATATTCCGAATACTAATTGCCCGGCTGTGTAACGCGAGTAGTTTGAATATTAAAGCAATCGGAACTAGGCTACGATCCGCGTTAATAGAGTTTGGCAATTTAGCTAAATAAGTATGATTTGATTCTTCCGATGCGGATAGTCAAATACATAACAAAGAAAGGGAAGTTAAATGTTATGGAAGGGAAGTTATATGCTATTTCGTTGTTTATTTGCATCTATAACGACAGACATGTTGTCTTTTCTGAGACGAAAAACCTATGAATTACCTATTTCTATCCCTTTCAGCTCTCTCCATAGTGGCACTACTTGAATGTATTGTACGAAATGGCTGTCACCGCAATCAACAGATTTAAATGATGCTCTTTTTAATATGCCTTGAAATACATATACTTACATTAAATTTTTGTTATCTACAGTTTTAGTCACAATTTTATCCCTTTGTAAGCCATAACTCTTGTTGACCCTATAGCAACTCTATTCCACTTCCAAAAATTCAGCTCCATTTAAAAAAAATGCAAACAATGTGTGTTTTGTTTCAGAGCACAAGCCAAGGCATGACGAGCCAACACGTGATGGTTCGCCGAGTGACTCGCAGGTAACAAGCTAGCGATGCTGGGCGTCCTGGCAAGCGCGAAAGGCCGGCCGACATATCTTATAAACCATACATTTCTCGTGTAAGCCATAACTTGGTTATTTCCTAGCAGTTCCCCTGATTCGGACGACTCTATGGATTCCCACGCCGAAGACGAGAGCGACGGACGCGACGACACATTCCTGGTGAATTCCAACAACGAGAACAAATTCTATGGTAAGACCTTTTGATTTGCGACCTTATTTTATTGCTCAAGCGAAAATGCTGGCTTTGCGAGTGTTAACCCTTAACTGGTATCGTAAATTGTATACACGTAACTGTTATCGTGGGGGCCGCGCGGCCCCCATACTATTTTTGCTTCTAGCAAGCATGTTTTACCTATATACTTGAATAAATGCTCATAAATGATAAATATCAGGCTCGTTCTATGTAATCATTTAGTTTTTATTTTATTAAATCTTCCTACTTATACAGTGTGTCCGGGCATGTAGTGATCAAACTTTAAGGGCGTAATCTATGGGCAATTTTATCGATGAAAATACTTCAAATTTAGGGCTTCACCCATTTCTCGCAAAATTACAAGGATTTAAGTTTTTAATTTTTAGTAATAAGCAAACATTTTATATCATGCGATAGCCAATAAAATTATCTATTAGTAGAAGTAAAAAACAAACAATATTATTGGCTATTGCATGATATAAAATTTTTGATTATTAGTGTTAAGCTAGCCACGCTATCACTTGTTTTTGAAGGAAGAGGTGAAAACTTAAAATTCAAAACATAAATCCTTGTAATTTTGCAAGAAATGGGTCAAGCCCCAAATTTGAAGTATTTTCATCGATAAAATTGTCCATAGATTACGCCCTTAAAGTTTCATCACTACATGCCCGGACACACTGTATAGTTCAAGACATTACATAATAGTAACAACTTTTTACGTAATATTTTTTTAACGTTACAAATATCTATGAAACCTATCGTTTAGAAAGTTATAACCAAAAATATTATTATTTTAATTAATCCATAATAATGTGAACATAATAATAAATAACGTTTAAATGTAATGTTTAATAAAAATAATAATTACTTTATATAAATAACATAAATATTATGTTGACAAACATTAGCAGGTGCTGGTGGATTTTCAAACCACTTGTATTTGTTTTTTCATAGTAGCAGGATTGACTAGGTCCTATAACATCTTCATTTTCACTCCCTGAAGAAAAAACTTCAGAATCAGAATCAATTTCCTCATTATCGACAGAATATTGGTTATTGGGTCTTTACAATGACCTATAATTTTATTATCACTGTATTCTTCTTCTGGCATGCTAATAATCACTAATTTGGAATCAAACACTTTGTTCTAGGTATCTTCTATTATTTTATCACTTAAAAGTCATCAATACTGCAAAAAATTGCCATGAAAAAAAAACTAACGTAACTGGTATTGTGGGGGCCGCGCGGACCCCAACACGTGCATTTCTTCGTCCTGGTGAATGATGCAGTGCTGAAACGCCTGCACCAGACGTGAGTAGCGCCGAAATGAGAATACCAAAAATTTTGGCTGCCCACGATGCGTAGTTTCTTAGAAATCAAAACAAAGATACCAGTTAAGGGTTAAAAATTGATTGTCCTCTAAAAAGGACTCGCACTAAAATGTAGAAAGCCTAATCAGTAATTTATTAAAAAATGACCATTCTGCTCGCTACCGTATTCCATACAGTGTTACAAAAACACTATAGTCAAGTAGGTACCTTTGCACTATGTTTTGAGTCTAAGTTCACCTTTGTAAACTAGACTCATCTCTTTTTCGGCCTCCATACGTTGGGTCAGGGTACTAATGACCTCAGAAAGAGCGGGGCGAACACCCCGCCTTTACCTACGTTAGTGCGACAAACGTTACATCGAATTTTGTTTCTTCGAAAACCTTTCTGCGAAGTTACTATACTGCGACGCCTTGTTATATCGATGCCTTGTTACTGCGATGTTACGTTACATCGAAAAACTTTACTGCGAACGATTTTGTAGTCGTATTTTATAATTTATTTATATTTATGTTTCTATTCTTATGTTATTTAATCAAAGATGTAACTGTTAAATAGATGTAATAAGTAAATAAAATGTAATGTATTTATAATCTTATTTCATCTATAATTTTGTACCGCCCACTTTATTCTATGTATGTATGTATGTAATTTCATTTTTTTATCTATCTGCTAAGTCAAATCAGTAAAATCGTTCGCAGTAAAGTTTTTCGATGTAACGTAACATCGCAGTAACAAGGCATCGATATAACAAGGCGTCGCAGTATAATAACTTCGCAGAAAGGTTTTCGAAGAAACAAAATTCGATGTAACGTTTGTCGCACTCACGTATGTAGGTAACCCCGCCTTCGAGGAGAGGGAGGCGGTTCGGCGCGAGGCTCGTGAAACTGTGGTCCAGCTGTGGGCAGACCACCTCGCCGTTGCCGAGTCGGGCCGCCGAACCTTGGATGCGTTCGCGCCGACCATAGAAAGGTGGCTCGAGTGCCCGCACGGGTACCTACCACTTTTTTCCCCGTAAAAAAGTGTACTAATGACACATTGTTCTTTCTCTCTAATGTTGAGCGTGAGTAAAAATTACGTGTCTCAGTAAATTATATGGATTAAATTAATACTTAATTATTAGAGTTAGACCATTTTCACATACCTTCAGCAAGGCGTGAAGCTGAAAGATAAACTCGTATAACTACGTAGTCAGTCAATGCAAATGAAGGTTTTTTTGTAGATAATTTAGGTCTATTATCGTAAGTTCTCTGTCAATAATATAGCATTTTTATGTAGGCTCTTAGTTTTAAAACGACTGCCGCTGTTTTTAAGAATTAGTAGGTAGTTGAAAATGAATTCGTTTATTAATTCAGAAAGATTGCTTATAAATAATACCTTTTCACAGTTCGCAATCGCAATCATTTAATAATTACAATCCCTTTGAACCTGATTGCTACGGGTGTTGAAATTGGATAAGGGAACCTTTCTTTTTAATCTGCTTTAAAATCGAATAATCAATTAAAACAATTCTGAGGAAAAATCACTGTTAGTGATTACAATACAATACTCTCATAAATACAATTATATAAATACAATTATAATATCGCAACGAGTCTGAGTAAAACAACTTTTGCTTTGGTTATTACTAAAATAAAGTTTCGCATACGACATACTCGTGCATACAGAGATAAACTAATTCGTGCCAAATCAGATGCTAGCGAACCCTTATGATGTTGCTTTTAAATCATGATTGCCGATGTCGGCTTCACATTCAAGGTGCCCATCTCCGTTTTATATGTATTTATCAGTACAAACCATAAAATAAACAATTACATAATATTGTGGGAGCTAGTGTGAAAAGTAAACATTCGGCCACACCAACCCGTGCAACCTGCGCGCGCGATGGCGATCAGATGACGTGTATGAATTTGAGCGATGAGTTCACATCTACGCGTCCTAAGGTGGAATTGTGTAAAGCAATCGTTATCATTTAACAGTTCATAACGTACGATTATTCTGTCAAACGCTTTGTTTAACAGACTTTATCGTACGTTATGAACTGTCAAAAGATTACGATTGCTTTGTAAAGTTTACACTATTCCACCTTTGACATTGGTCGCCGCTCGCTACGATCTATGCACCAACACCATCGCGTTGGTGTGGCCGAAGATTAAGTGTACAGAACTTTTGAAGATACCTACTTCTTTTTTCACCAGGCGCTGTGCCCGGAGGCACTTCTGGCAACACCACCCGCTGCGGCCGATTCTTCGGCGCCATCTACCGGCAGCTCTACGCGATGTCCTACCTCTGCCCTGGGTTCTTCCCCTGGGTTGACAACGGTCCTGCTACGAGTCAGTCAGGTCAGTTCAATTGACACATAAAATCCGTTGAATTTGCCTTTGAATTGGTAGGTACTCTTGAAGTAAATCGGCAATTTTTGTGGCAATGCCTACTGTTGTGGTCTGGTGGGTATAAGATCTTTCTTATTCTTATTCTTAAAATGTAAATTAAATAAGGGTTCCTTATCAGGACTACGGAACCCTAAAATAGGTTACTTTTAATTTGAGTTTTCTCAAGTTATTTCCTTCACAGCTCCATCATTAGACAACTTTACCCTACCTGTAATACCACCCGACTTTACATCTTATGAACCGGGAAGTGTATTGGATTTCTTTGTTAATTTGTGTATACGTGGAAGTAATTTAATTAAGTGTTATAGAGAGGATCAGTCTTGCTCGAGTTAATTATTATTAGAAGTCACCAGGATGGAGTTGATAAAATTATTTCCAAAAAAAAATGTATCCCTACTGTTAATTATAATAAAAAATAATTTCGAAAACTTGTATCGCGCATAGAATTTATTCCTCTTTTTTTCTGTTTGCGCTACAAGCTTTCGAAATTATTTGAACCTTGCATACAATTATTTTTTTCGTTTTAGTACAACTGCATTTCAGAATTAAAGCTTGTTTTTAAAAAAGTTTTTTTTATTATTATTTTATTTTATACTTCTTAGTTGTTTCTTAATCTCAGAGCCCCAAGTGCTCGGGAAAACAAATCCAACGAACCCAAACTCGATAAGTTTCCGCCGTGTCGCTTAGGAGTTCCTATGGCCACCTCCTGACTCCATCATCAGACCAGCTCAATGGTACCATAACATTGCATTGTCATCGTACTTACATAAGTATGCCAAATTTCAGCTTAATCGGTTGAGGAGAACTAGTCTTAAATTCAGTTGCAAGATTTGTCCCACTTACCTACTAACAAGTGAAGTCAATATAAAGCTTGTAATAATAATAAAAAGAGATATAGGGTAAAAGTCCCAGAAATTACATTGCATATAGTTTTTTTTTAAATCATTTACTGTTTTATCATGAACTAGCTGACCCGGCGAACTTTGTTCCGCCTTAATGGCAATAAATAAGCAGATTTATTCAAACATACAAACAGTGGACTTTATACTATTATGTAAATCCACGGGCTGCAAGCCTCTGGCGAAATCTATTTAAATAAATTTTCCAATATTTGATTGTTTCGTAAGTCACAAAAAAACCTTATGCCTGTAATGAAAGTAGGTTGGCAGAATTTTCGTATTGAATCCCTTCACTATTACTATCTCATCTATCGCTTACGTCATACGAAACGTACTAATATTCGCAGGAATGTTCGTGCTGAAGTCGTTCGCGACTATGTTCGTGATGATCATGCTGTTCGACGTGCTCGCCGCATACTGCAGCCCCGGATCCTCCACCTTCGTCACCGTGCTGATGGTCATCCTGCTGATCGGCATCATCATGCTCCTGCTGATGATTTCTAGGAAACCTCAAAACCGGTACGTAATTTTTTCTTTTCTTTTCAGGTGACTAATGCCCGTTTTCACCATCAATCTCCAAGTGACCCCTATGGTAACACATAACAGGCAATTGTTTTCAAAGGGGTCACTTAAAAAAACATCGCATAAAAGCCTAGGTTCTCGTCGTCGAATCGCTGTAATTGGATTTTATGTAATGACTAGCTTTCCGCCCGCGGCTTCGCCCGCGTGGAATTTTGTCTGTCACAGAAAAACTTTATCGCGCGCGTCCCTGTTTCAAAAACCGGGATAAAAACTTCCTATGTTCTTTCCCGGGACTCAAATTATCTCTATGCCAAATTTCATCAAAATCGGTTGCGAGGTTTAAGCGGGAAAGCGTAACAGACAGACAGACAGACAGAGTTACTTTCGCATTTATAATATTAGTTGGGATAACAGTTAAAGAATTAGATTGTATCGAGTTGATCTTCGTCCTAAATTCATAACTCTTTTTTCAAGATAAAATGTAATTTTTTTAACTGTCTTGTTATTGATGTAAATTGTAGATTATAACTTAGGTGTGTCTTCTGCTGTTTCACTCCGTGGAAAATTTTCTCGTATCAACAGGTTTCAAGACGCCATCGGGCCCAAACAGGTTGTCCTCACAACAGTCGTCGAGAAATCACAGTCGATTTTGCTTTTACATTACTTTTATGATTTTGGATTGTAATTGCAAGAAATGAGTTCACAACCCTAGTCCATTGAAGTAATATTACTACGTATAGAACAGACATCGCGAACAAAATATGTACAGTGCGGGGTGCGGGGCGGGAATTTGACGGACAGCTGTCAGTCAAATCCATGACTATCAAGTTTCATAATTTATGGCGATAAAATCTGCACCAGAAAATGTCGTACTTCATTGATAGGATTGCACGAATAGTGACGTTCCTGCGGTCGCCTCATCATAGACATTGTGAATCGATTGTGAAAATAAACAAATCGGCTAAATTGTGTTAAATTTTCATGGTGCTCAATAGCAAAAAGGTTCAGCTACACACACCGGCAGATTTAGAGGAACGGAAAAAAAAGCATCAATATCATCATTATTTTAGGAAAAAAATGCCTAATTATGACATTATTTTTTAATTTAATTCTAAATATAAAAAAAATAATTGCCAACAGTATATTTTTTTAATTATTTTGTTTAAATTACCCCATCAACAGTTTCGTTGAGTGTTTTGAATTGAATGAAGCTTTTGCTAATTTGGATTTCTTTTACCCCATCTCTAGTTTAAAACTGTCATCCAACAGCGCACGAAATATTATGAGTTATAGATAATGATACCATTACAGAGGCGACACTTCGTTTACGTTTAGTTTCTGCCTATTGAATTGGATACTGTAAGGAAACATCGTCATCATCATTTTAGCTACTGGACGTCCACTGCTGAACAAAGGCCTCCTCTAATGATTTCCACATCGCCCAGTTGATAGTGGCCTGCACCCAGCGTCTTCCTGCTATCTTCAGTCAGTCCATCTTGAGATTTTAGAAAAATTCCCACTCGTAACGGTAGGAACAAAGCTAGGCATGACCCACGCCTTCATTCCAGAACCAATAAAATAACTGAAAGTCAGAAACTAGTTATTTTATTGTCTCTATTGTTAACTAACTCAGTGGTTGAGTTACACGTATAATAGCTGTGAAGTAGAAGTTACGGGACTATTCCCACCTCTCCTTTTCACCGCTGCATCTCCTGTGTAGCTAGCACCTAGACTAGTTGATTTAAAGCCAAGGTATATCAGTTTTTAGGTAATGACTTAGTGCATCTAAAAATGTAAAACTTTCTAGTTTTTTGTAACATTGAAAAATCTAAAAAGAAGCATCATTTTTTTTACGTTCAAGTGTTTCTAAGAAATTTAAATGGAAGCTGAGGAAGGGGGGGTGCCGCCCCGGGTGCCAACCTATGCTACGCCGCCACTGCATAAATGTACAACTTAATGGTAAAAAGTCATTCCTTGATTTTTACTTGATATGTATCTGGGGTTATTTGAACAGTATTTTCGTCTATAGGATGGCATATTTCAAAAAACAAAACTGCACTCAAGCGTGTTGTCACAGCAACCGCTGAGCACATACTAATTGAATTTCGGTCCATGGACCTGTTTGCGTGCCAGAAACAGTCTCGTTGACATGTCTTCTCTAGTACGTAGTACATTATAACTCAAGCCCTAGTCAGATTTTATGAGCCACCTTAGACGTCTAACATACAACATGGCTCAATTGGACCAACTTTACTATTGGTGATCTCGTTATTTATTTGCAACTTACCTAAACCATTTTGCATTGAACGAGCAATCCGAATATAAATAGTCGCTATTAAAACATTATTTCTGTTCAATGGGGACATGGCCTACAAAACTTTTGAGACGGTTGTGGTAAGTTTCTTCATAATAATGAGGAAAATAAAATACGTCTAGGAAAAAGAAAACACGTGCGCACCCTGACCTCTGTAGGGCGGGAATTCGACGCACGTTTACCCTAATTCACTAATATTTTTCGGAAAGTTTACTGTTTTATAGAAATTGTTTATAATTTATTTTTACTTTTGTGAGTCGATTCAACGTTATAACTTGGGTTTTCGCGATTGAAAAATCTCCCAGATGGCAATACGTAGACGCGAGGTCCAAAATATGCTGCATGATTGGTTATTTTTGACATGACATTGACAGATATGTCAAAATCCACCAATCATGCAGCATTTGGACCTCCCGTCTACGTATTGCCATCTGGCGGGTTTTTCAATCGCGAAAACCCTCATCTATACTTATAATAAATCTGTAGAAAGGTCAATTCTGTACATGAAATATATTTTCAAAATAACTATCAGGGGGTGATTAGTGATCGATACTGATGCCAAAAATGCAATCAGTAAAATTTTTGTCTGTCTGTCTGTCTGTCTGTCTGTCTGTCTGTCTGTCTGTCTGTATGTTCCTTATAGAAACAAAAACTATTCGACGGATTTTAACGAAACTTGGTACAATTATTCTTCATACTCCTGGGCAGGTTATAGGATACTTAGGAATTCCCACGGGAACGGGCATTAGCGGGAAAATCCTTTTGTATGAAAAATCTAAACCGCTTAAGTTAGACGCTTGAAATTTGGCAAGCAGGTACCTTAGTAAACTTAAAGCTTAGTTATAACAGGATATTGCAAAATTCCTACGGGAACGGGAATTAGCGAGAAAAAACATTTGTATGAAAAAATCTAAACCGCGTAAGTAGATGAAGGGGGTAAAACGGGATCCACGCGTACGAAGTCGCGGGCGGCCGCTAGTTGCTACTAAACCTACACAGTTAAACCACAGAATACATAATAGTAGCAACAGAAATTGCACTCCTTTGTTTAGGATCAGATGCCGACATTTTAACGGTAATAATAATAATGCAAAGTATCCAACGCATATGGTGCATTCGAAATCGCACCTTACTACTACGCTCACAAGAGCGCAATTTTTTTGTGTTCAGAATTGATCTAACTCAAAACTCAAGCGTCAGGGTTGTATAAGCAAAGTAAAACAAATAAAAACTTAATTTTAAGAAGCATTTATTGTGTTTACGATTGGTACCTAAACTTTAATCTAGTGGTGTTTGTATAATAGTACCATCTCTAAAGTACCTATTAATAAACTTCAGTGTTGCCATAATTCAAATTTGGAAAAACAGTTTTAAAAGGTGTAGTGTCGGAAAATAGACACGGTGAAGTGAAGTTAATGTTTTTATTAGCTAAAATATTTTTTTTGCTACAGTTTTTTGTCATAAGTATTTTAAAATTATTTAAAAAGTGTAGTTTTTTTTTATTAATTAAATTACTACAGTTAATTATTATTCCTAAATATTACGATTTTCCATTAAAGAAGAATAACAGTGCTGTTGGAACAATAAATTGATTGCGATGATGATCGACCGAGCGTGTATAGAAATACGCATGTGCTCACAGGCGCGTGGCGGCCCAGACTGATTTGCAACTTGAAGTTGTCGCGCGCTGTAGGTAATTATCTCGGCTGGCATAGGCGAGTGACGGAGGCCTGGTTAAACCTGCACCTCACTTTAATGAGGCGTAAACGATAAACATTATTTCATAGACACAAGGTGCAACAAGGATTCCTAGCAGGATGAAATGTCATGTTTAGCAGTCATCTACTTAGTCCGAAACTAAGCAAAGCTATTTATCTACCATGGAAACCAGGTAACGCAACAGTGCAGTGGCTGAACGGTAGTCAATCTATAATTTAAGGTTAATTTGAATTCAAAGTCTTCATTGATTTTGCTAATAGGCAGTGTAGTTTATTACTTAATGTCTCATTTCATCAACAGCTCTTTACAGTCCACTGCTGGACTATGAGACTTAATGTCTATTGATTTCTAATTCAATGTAAGGAAATTGACGAATCGATAAGGGAAACATGACACTGCTGAAAATACTTACAAGGTAGGTGTCAAATACATACAGGGTGTCCCAAAATTAGCACGTCACACTGACTCCGGAGATAGCTGGGCCTAAGATCAGTCGAGCAAGCTTAATTGTCCATAGAAAATATTCATTAGTTTCGCAATATCAATTTTAAGGACTTTCATAAGCCGGTCTGCGGTATGTAGTGGTTGTGGTTGGTGGACGAGTTGCGTCCTAGGTCCTTTTAAATTCAAACCAACTTGGATTTTAATTTTAAATTGAAATTTATTCTCAAATTGCATGTTAACTGCAAGCTTTCAAGAAGAGAGCGTAGGTATCTTCACCTTAAAGGCCGGCAACGCACCTGTAACGCCCCTGAGACTGCGGGTGTCTATGGGCGACGGTAATCACTTACCATCAGTTGATCCATCTGCTCGTTTGCCTCCTGTCACATAAGAAAAAATCTTTTTACCCAATCTCAATTTATCTTACTCAACATAATATCTTATACTCAATTCTTGGCTGCTATATTCCAGAGTGGGGCTGATCTACGCGGCGCCCGGGCTGCCATTCGTGCCGGCCACGGCGATCCTGGTGAACATCTACCTGATACTCAACCTGTCCATGCTGACCCTGGCTCGCTTCACCGTCTGGATGGCTCTAGGTAATTAATGCCGTCCTCTGTTGGACAAAGAACATGGATATCCACAACGACCGCCTTCAGGTGCTGCCGAGTGCTTCACCAGATTGTCGGTCCAGCGAGTGGGGGACCTGCTTACACTATGTTTTGCGGGTTGTGGCCCCAACAGCCATCAAAATCAAAAACCAATCATCAAATCAAAATCAAAAGTAAAAAATCAAGCTAAGCAAAGTAATGAATATTCGAACAATTAACTCTTGGTGTTTCAATTTATACACTGCTGGAGAAAAGCCTCCAGGAGAGCCGTCCGCGGTGGTACGGACATGTCATTTGTCGTCAAGTAAAACCACTCAATGTACAGAAATGAGGTCTGAAACTGAAACTTAGTATCAAGTTTTCTCATTTTCATTCTTACTGGAAAGTTACGTTACCTACTTAAGTACGGTATAAAATTTTCTTGGTAACTACACTTTTTTAAAGTGACGTGTCTCAGAAATTAGGAATTCACGTACGGTTAGAGTTAAAGCAGTTAGTTCCTTTCGGAAACGCGATAAAAACTACACAAGAAAAGTTATTTCATGAAAATTTCATACATTTTCAAGAATAATCTTTTCGGAAACGCGACAAAATCTTCACAAGGAAAGTTAATTCATGATAATGTCATATATTTCCAGGAATGGTCATGTACTTCAAATACGGCATCAAAAACTCGACCCTAGAGACGAACCCTCCAGTTGTGACAGCCCCGACCCCCCCACCCCCTAACCCCCTGGACCGCGTGACCATCCCTCCCCCCTCCCCCAACCCGCGCCCCACCGGTGACCGAAACATCTTTGAAGGCGACGGGAACAACGGTTACTTCGGCGGCCACGACCAGTAAGTTTTGAGAACCTCTGTCGTTGCTTTTTTTCGTAGATGCATGCGTGCATGTAGCATGTGCATGGTATAGAACGTATAGCTTCTTGTGAGCGTCGACCATAAAGGTCATTGTCATCCGACCGTCTGACACCCAAGTCCCAGATTTTCAAACTATGCAATTCTAGAATATCAGACTAAAAATAAGGAAAACACCACATGGGGACTTTGGGCTTTGGACTTATGGCAGCCACTTTGAAGCGTACTATACCTACTTACAGATAAGCATGAATTTTAATCACGCCCAGCAAGAGCTGGTAGCCACTACAGATATTTTTTTACAAAACGCATGTGTTAAGGTGAATATACACACTACCCACGGCATCGTACGCCAATTTTTTGCGGTAAAATGTTTACGACTTGTGTGTTCACCTTTAATCATGCACAATCATTGATGGGTGACATCTGGCTGGTAGGTCCAGAAATCAGTCATCCTGTACTGTTTGACCACTTTTAATATTTTAATTATGCTTCAGCACCTGTAAATAAGTCTATCCAATCTAATCGACCGAAGAAAGAAGGCGCTCGGACTGGATTGACATCGATCAGGTTTAATTGCTTTCGTTTATTGGCGGTTCACCAGGTACATATGAATTAGTTTTTTCAACTTTAGGTAGATGAGCACTCAAGATATGAATATTCTTTTAGGTATTCGGACCCTTTACTCGCTTGGCATGACACCGACCTTCGGGCTGTGCCCACCACTAGCCGTGGCGTAGCTTCTGCCAGTACATACAGACAAGTGGAAACACGGTGCGTTCACTTATTATTATTAATCACACGTAGTATGCATGAGTAGGACAACACTGCACATAGCACATTTTTTTCAAGAGGCAATCGCTCATAGAATCATACATTTTGTAAATACACTAGAGCACACCTTTCACTTCAGTCTTAAATTATCTCACTCCGTTTTTCTTAACTTTTAATAAATAATTTTAATAGATTTAAATATATGGAGCGTAAATATCACAAGTACCTACCTATGATAAAGACCCTTTGACAAAAAAATTACACATGAAAGACGTGCCTCTAAAAATGCAATTCCAAAACTCTATGTTTAGCTCGACATTGAGAATAACTATTCTCATATTACGATTCTGGCTAGTATTATAAAAAATGACACTTAAAGTACGAATCGACTCAAGAACAGGAATAAAGCCTGTGATTGGTCTGATGTTTTAATTCTATTATTTTTTTATTACCAGTCTTGTTTTATTTGATAATCATTCATTTGTTTTTTCCAGAATATTTAGCTTCTAATGTTTTTTGATGAGTTAAATTTAAATTTCAATTAATAAAAATCTATGTCATTCATAATACTAGCCTAAATCTTAAATCCAAAGTCTTTTGCTCGAAATTGCGCTTTATCTGTTGTTATACAGGGTGATCAAAATATAGAGGCATTCCCTACTAAGAAGAAGAGGCAGAAGTTGCAACATGAACCTACTATAATGATTTTTATTTGAAATTTTACAAGATACAACAATTTTGTAAAGATGATGTCTAAATGTTAATTTATTAGAAAGAAAGAAAGAAACATTTTTATTTAGTCCAAAATTCTTACCTATTAGCGAATTCATTGATGCATCTATCTACTATTAAGTTTTGCGACGCACCGTATGCGTATTTGTCAGTCTGTTAATGTTCAGCCTAATCAACGCATGCAGCCTGCGTGCGCGATGGCGATGGCGAAGACGATCAGAGGTGGAATTGTGTAAAGCAATCGTAATCATTTGACAGTTCATAACGTATGATAAAGTCAGTTAAATAAAGCGTTTGACAGATTAATCGTACGTTATGAACAATTCATACACAATAATACAAAAAAGCTGGCGCTGTGTGAAATTGTCCAAAGATTTATTTATTTATTTATTTATATAATTCCACCTCAGATGTCATATATGAATTAATTGAAGCGATGAGTTCACATAACGCGTTCCTGTCATTAGTCGCGGCGCGGCGATCTATGCACGTATTTTTTTGGCCGATACTTTACTTGATTTGGTAATACAATATAAAAATGTGTTGGGGGACGTAAAATAACAAATTAAAAATACTTTTAAATAATTAACTTTAAAGTAGTCCAAACTCCAAATAATGCAACGTGTTTACGTGTGACGCCGTTACTACATAGTCCAGTCAATGAATGCGTTAACGACGGTGTAGAGAGAAATCCCTGGAACACAATTTCTGACCTCGGGACTTTATTAAGACTAGTTAGGAGGTGAACATAGTAAAAGTCCCCGCCCTTAGCCCTTCAGCCGGCGGGGAGAGGGGGGGGTTAAAGGTGCCACTTTTCGGTTTTTCGCTTAATCTTCGGAAACTATGCGTCCTAGTAACATGGCTACTATGAACCAAAAAAAGCTTATTTAATTTGCTACAGGTGAGACAGTCAAGTTTTTCTATATCTTGTATAGTTTTCGCGGCATCTGCTATAGAAGGTCTGTAATATTGGAAATTTTAATTTTGTCTTACATGTTCGCATCAGGAGAAAATCGACTAAATAAACAATATGCAAACATTATAGACATGCGGGAGCATGTTAAGCCTAGTTCCAGGGAGGGGACTGCATCGTGCGTATATTTAGACGAACTAATTGGAGCCACTTTTGACTCCTCATCACTCAAAAAGCACTATGCATTAACACTTCAAATTAGGCTCATGTGTTGAGACTTGCAAGATAAACATCAGCTTCAAATTTCATAAATATACCTGAAGCGGTTATTTAGGTATTGACGTTCAAAAATCGACATTTAGGGCACTAAAATCTATATATCACCTGTGAAATATTAAAATTTACTGGTTTTTTATTTATTCCTTTGTATTTACATAACTACCTATCTGGATGCCAAATTTGAACCTTAAAGGTCATCTGGAAGTGGTTGGAATTTGGTGTTATAGGTCAGCCATGTAGATTTTTAGACGTCAATACCTAAAGAACCGTTTGAGGTATATTTATGAAATTTGAAGCTGATGTTTATCTTGCAAGTTTTAACACATGAGCCAAATTTGAAGTGTTAATGCACAGTACTTTTTAAGTGATGAGGAGTCAAAAGTGGCTCCAATTGGTTCGTCTAAATATACTTACGGTGCAGTCCCCTCACTGGAACTAGGCTTAACATGCTGCCGCATGTCTAGAATATTAGCTCAATGTTGATTTAGTCGATTTTCTCCTGATGGAAACATGTAAGACAAAAATAAAATTTCCAATATTACAGACCTTCTAGAGCAGATGCCGCGAAAACTATACAAGATATAGAAAAACTTGACTATCTCACCTGTAACAAATTGAATAAGCTTTTTTTGGTTCATTGTAGTCATGCCACTAGGACGCATAGTTTCCGAGGATTAAGCGAAAAACCGAAAATTGGTACCTTTAAACCCCCCTCTCCCCGCCGGCTCAAGGGCTAAGGACGGGGACTTTTGCTATGTTCACCTCCTAATTAGTCTAAATAAAGTCCCGAAGTCAAAAATTGTGTTCCACGGATTTCCATCTATAATGCTTTATTTACTGGACTAACAGTGAAATATCAACGAATGATTGCGAAATTGTAAAGAACTTTCAAAATCGTGTCATCGTGGTAATAAAATTCAAATCAAATCAAAAGCCTTTAAGGTGACGGACACCTTATTTTTTAAGATGGCCAAGGAATGCCTCTACTCAATCACCCTGTATGCCATTGCCAACGAGTAAAGCTTTGTCTCCTTCGCAGGCTCTGCCCCGTTGAGCCGTCAAGGGACTCTACTTGCGGAATTCGCTTTTGGCACTATGCCCCGATAGTGAAGTGAGCCAGATTTACGCTTCATATTATTTTTGACATTATCGTCGTCCGGCGTGTGTGTACAATGACCCGGTTATGTTTCAGTTACGACGTTAGGACGAATAGCACTTCGTCGCACACCGCGCCCCTTGCTGCGGCCCACATTGCGCCTCATGTGGCGCCCCCTCGCCCGGCGCATCGCCCGAGTTGGGCATTCCCGGAGAACCCGTGGGACGACTAAATATTTATCAACTGTATCTCACTTTCAACGCCTCGGTACCTTTTTTAAATTTAAATTATTTGTGTTACATTGATTGATTGTGTTGGCTGAACTGTTTTTTGTTTTTAAAGATTTATCGACACACAGATAAGTGTCGCTTAGGTGCTTGTCGATGAATTCGCGCATTAATTTTATGTGACCTATATGTTTTATTCTAATATACTAGAATTTATTTTAAGTTCGTGCTGAATGTTAGCGCTCTATGTTGTGTTATTGTGCAACAGGTTTTGAAAGACAAACGACAGGCTATCGACCCGGCTGCTCTGGCGATCGGTTTTGTGTTCAGTGTTAAGAGTATACCTACTTGAGTTGTTTCAGTTTTTCCTTTTTATACATTTGGCCTTGATTCGATGTTAGGAAAACCACCAAACCAGGATTTTCTTTTGAGTTAAGTAAATTATTTTGCTTTAAATTTGACAGAAGACTTGCTATGTGATATGTTTTTAAAACAAGCCCACCCCTACCTAAACTTACCAAACCCAATCACTTATTCTTACCTTCCCAGCTACATATCCTAAACCCCAAGTAAGCATTTGTAAATATGCCATATTCATAGTGTAGGTTCCCTGGCACATCAATTTCATCTCACGTATGTGTTACCCCATTTTCCTCCCCAAAAACAGAATATGCTTAATAAATTGTTTGTAAATAACGATCAATATAATAAGTAGTTCCCTTGGCTCACTATTTAATCTCACCTATTGCACGCACTTCTCCCATCCCCAAAAACAAAATTATATGTCCAATGAGTTGTTTAAAAATGTAAATAATTATTTATTAGGTACCTGTAGTTCCCTTGCCACAACCCATACTATAATCTCACTTGATGTACCCTACCCCCAACCCCCAGAAACTAAATATTATGTTAAATAAGTTGTTTAAAATTGTAAATAGGTAGCTATTTTTAAATAATATGTGGCTGCCCTGGCACATCGATATGATATCCCACCACACCTCTATCCCCAAAAATAAAATATCATGTTTTCTTAGTTACTTAAAATTGTAAATGATTGTTATTCACTTATGTAGCTCCCTTGGCACGGTCCTTTGAATGTCACCTACTCCTCTCAAACCCAAATCCCTAAAACATAAAACTAAATTATTTTAAGCCCCAAAAGAACCCAATCCAAATTACACATTCACCCGCTAAATAAGTTTAATAAGTTGATAACCCAATTTATTTAATATCACATACAATCTTCATCCCCAAAATAAAACACCAAACAGTAGTTATATAATTTGTATAGGTAAAGTATTTATACATATTAAGCACATTACGACTGATGAAGTTAAGTTAAAAAAGAGGTTTTTTTTTCTTTTCCTTTTTTATTAAAAATCTTTTTAATTTTTTAATTATTTTACGAAATATAACACGTATATGTATATCATTCAGGATACAACAGGTCAAAATATCAACGTAGTTTATGTAAGACCAAATGATTCATTCCTGAATTTACAACACCGTTAGTAGAAAGTCTACTATAAAAATAACACCAGCTGAAACCCAAACAAAAGCACTGCTACAAAAACATCCAGTAGCAGTTGGAGTCGGGAGAAAGACATCTGACTCCTGACAAAGGCCCTACACTGCAAGTTTTTGCAACGAAAGAAACGCGATTCAGCAATGTATAATCGCAAATCCTTTTTACGACACACCTTCCTATCGCTGCAAAAACTCGCAGTGTGATGGGGGCCTTAGAATAGTCATATTAATGGTTCGAAAGTTACCTCGAATGCATGGTGGCTATGGTTGCATGGGTCCGTCATTCCGGTTTGCAACTAAACCAAGCTTAATGGAAAACCCGTGTAATTCAATCGATAAGTAGACACTCTATTTTTAACCTATTTTTTGTATAATTCACTGGTCAACAAAAAATCAAAATTAAAATGGTGCCGAGATTCTGTTGATAGTTTATTATTAGGTGTGTATTAGTAATAATAAAAACATTTTTCTTTTTTTTTTCCTACGTGTAGTTTTTGATCTACCCTCAGTTTTAAATTTTAGCTTTAATCGGTACTTTGGTTGCACAGTTTGTAATGTTATCGGTATATTTTTATAACGAAATTTATTTTAATATCATGTCTGCATTGCCAAGAAGTTGCCTCAACGATCCAAATGTAATTTGTTACATTTGTGATGTGCACACAGTTAAGAATTTCAAAAATTTAGACAAAATTTTAATAAAAAGTGCTTATTTTTCTTACTTTAAGTCGGAAATTGTGGTTGTATTCAAGCCGTGGATACCCGAAATTGTTTGTATAATCTGCTGTGAACACTGAGGCAATGTTTTAATGGTCAAAGAAGCCATAACATGAAGTTCAGAGTGGAAAAAGTGAGGAAAAAACAAAAAAAATCCTGGTTTGAGCATAAAAAAAGGTTAGAGCAGTAAATTTTTTATGGCCCACAAATAAGAATATTAATAAAAGATACTGATTTCTTAAGTTTGATGGACGTTTGGAACGATTTACGTGGACTTATTTCGTTGAAGTTACTAAAAGTTTTTTCGGAAATCACAGGACTAGTAACTACTATGAAATTGTGAGACATGCCCTAAAAACTCAGGATGTAATAATTTTCATCAAAGGGCACTACCTCCACAGTCATCTTGACCAATTCCCAGAGAATCTTGGGTCACTATAGCATGCTATAGCTAAGAACAGGGAGAGCGATGCTATCAAGACCTAAAAACCATTGGAAGAGAGGTACCAAGGCAGATGGGATAGCTATATGATGGCTGATTACTGCTGGAGGATGTAACGTGATAGTTCCATTACACCTCATTCACAAAAGTCGTGGAAAAGAAAGTTTTTAAGCACTTCAAAATATTAAAAACGCTGATTTTGGTGAAATTTTGTATTTTTCTATACACGTCAAAATCTAGAAAACCACACGTAGGAAATCAACAAATTTGCTACTAAAGCAACCAGTATAAGGTCCTTAATCAAAAAATATATACAGTTCCTTGGCACCAAAACCACTGTTGACCAGTGTTATGCGTCTGTGCACAAATTCAAGCTCAAAATTTTACCCACTTCAACATATCTGACGAATTTCTAACTACACGAACCATGTTTTAAATGTTACAAATCCTACTGTTAAATCCATTGAAGTAATATTACTACGTAGTACATTATAACTCAATGGTTAAATCACCTATATTTGTTACCAGAATATTATTTTTTATTTATATACTCAATCGTTTACTTTAAAAGAGTCTAATAGGATTATAGATTTAAACCACTATTTTTGTATTATTTATATTAACTATTTATTGTTAATTAATTAAGTAATATTCTATTATCATTGTACACACTTAAAATAATTTATCGATTGTATCGTTGGCAAAAAATGAAAATTTAGTTATTTTATCTAATGTAAAACTAAGGAAGTTAGCAAAATCACTTTTTATGCCGTTTATACCTATCTACTACTATTGTTTTACTTATAAGGGTGATGCTTATCGTATCTTTACTCTCGGATAAACACATCGCGTACGATACTTTAGGCATCGTTTGTGCAGATATATTTTATAAAAATATACGTAAGTACAGTCACCAGCACAGCAGATTGTCACAAAATGTCACTGAACTGATTTCAAACTCTACAACTTGTCTTTATAAAGTTTGAAATCCATTGAGATATTAATCATTTTGTGATGCAATGCTCTGCTAGTGGCTGTACAGTAAAATTGTTAACATATCATAGCCGATTTTATGGCGATATCAACCAATATCGCCATAAAATCGGCACGTTTAGGACACGCCCACTACCTATCTTATTAGGGGATTAACCGTCATCAGACCTGAAACTTGAGCTTAAAATATCCAGCTATTTGTGCACGGGTCCTCACTGTATAAGAACTTACAGTAATAATTAATAATCCTACTCAAAATATAAGAATAGTCTGGACCACGTGAAGCAACCAACGCAACCTGTCAAATACCTACACTTGAAAAAATGGGTGGTCAAGGTCATACTTCATCTTCGATTGCTTATTTTTTAAGGCCGTCCTTTGTTGTATTCGTTTATTCATGCAGGCTTGTGTAACTTATTTATTTCTCATATTCACGAGATAGGTTCATTTGTGAAAAAATCTGGCTTAACGTCTCTGACTTTTAACAGAATCAAAATGAATCTATTTTGAGGATATTAATTAAACAAACAACAAAAATCACTGATTTACAGGTCTTCCTATTCCCGTTCATTTGATACTTTGTACTTGCCGGAGATGTTTCCTACAGCATTACGCCTGCAGGTATCTGCAACCCTCTTACAGGTCACGATAATAAGCTGTCAAGGGACTCCAGCAGTCGCAAAAGTATTTTGAAAGAGCTCCGTATGACAATACATTTCTTCATTTGAGATGATTCTGGAGTCTAAGGAGCAAATGTTAACACAATATAAGTGTAAGTTGACATTTGCTTTCTCAACTCCAACACACTCAAGCGAAGAACTGTATTGAAACGAGTGCAAATCATAATATTAAGTTTGTACGCATTTTGTGTACCATTTCTTTTATTCTAGATCTCGTACTATACACTCGGCACCTTTTATTATATTTATATTATAAGTAGAACCTATTCCATAAGATCTATCTATACAATATATCTAACCTAATTTTTAACCTATAATTAAGTGTAGTTTGGAAAATATGTTATACATGTACCTATTTATATATGTTTGCCAATTAAAAGTGAAGTTACACTTTTTCAAATTTTCCTGTAAGATATTCTCACAATGTGATATTTTGAAATAACTAAATCTATTCTAAAACGTAATATAAATTGTTTAGCGCTGCGCTCTTTTATAAACCATAATGACGGATCACTCAGATTTTTATATATTTTAGAAAGGCATTATTAAGTTAACGCCTGATGATACATTTGTAATGATAGAGTATTTCGTCGCACTCTATCGTACCCTCACGATAGGCTATTCCTGTTCTGGGGGACAACACGGACTTTATTGTTTGGAGCTAATAAGTCTGTAGATAGAATAATTTAGATATCGCAATATAACTTATTTTGTTTTCATAAAAATCTAGGATTGATTGACTGAATTGTTTGATCTCGAAAATGATAAGACTTTTGTTAAACGTTTACATATCTGCATTCATTATTTAATATTAGTTAAAACGCAAGCATTTCGAACTGACGATTGAGTGGCATAGAAGCAATCGTGTGTCTACATTGCAAGAGGATTTATGCGACCGTTGAGCGCACAATTGCCTCTTTGCCACCGGTCGTCTGCTGAAACTACTTCTATGCGCTGTAGTGATCAACGCTGTATTCTAATGTAATGTAAGTACATTTTGTCGTGATGGTCTCGTGACAGAATGCTTTGGGTAATAAAATAAATTAATGGATAGGCCTTATTCTTAAAATGTTGTTGATGTTTGATAAATAAATAATAATTGTTGGCTTTTCCGAGAGCGACGACTGCCTGACTAGGGAAGCGATATTCTAATATTGTTAATAGCTTGGTTTGGTGACAACATTTTAAGTGGACATCTTTATTGAACCTTGAAGGCGTCCGAGATGACGCCTGCATCGCACCGAGTTGACTGAACGCCTACAATGGAATTGGACGCACTTGCTTGAAGAGACAAAAACATGATCCTGACAGGCTACGACACCAGTTACTAAGACTAAAATATGACTTAACGTTATTTAATATAACGTATTGTAAACAGCTTCTACGCAATTGACAATGCACTTAGCGAGTCTTAAAGGTGTTGTAGCGATATTGCTTTAGAATTTTTGTGTGTGTGATAACTCGCATGAGACACAACTCAAAACTGTCTAAAGTTCTGCATTTGTTATACAGGGTGAAATGTAAATACGGGTATATTTAAACTCGAGTTCCGCCAAACAACTAGGTGTCAGGATACGCAGTTATTGCGCACCAAATAATTAGAGAAAACACAACATTTCTTGTGATATCATTCATGAAAGAACAAGATGAAAATATAAATACCCGTATTGAAGTTTCGCGCTGTATATCAGCGTATACGTTTAAGCTAATTGTCAGAAATAGATGTTCGATGTACTCGTGTAATCACTAGAATATGTTTCCCGTCCACAAAAAGCGGAATGGAGAAGAATGAAAGAATGTGTCTGGACTATTTTGATTGAGCTGATTCTCTGGCCTAGCCCCCACTCCGCTTCGCTGGGCGGGCTTGGTGTCCGTAAAACTGATTATTGTAAGAAAATTAAGGTAATATTAAAAATAACCCTGAACATAACCACAAGCATATTGACGCCAAATCAACTATCAAGATACTAAACGGCAGTTCCAATATCATTAATATTACCTTAAACACATAGAATTAATCACTGAATGTTGTGAACGACTTTATGCTATATAACCATATAAATATAATCTTGATCGCAATTTCGCAATAGCAGCAGCAATTGTTTTCACCACTGTTTTTGATTGTCCACGGAAAACCGCTTGTAGTCGCAATTGTCGCTATTTGATTTCTAATATGAAAAAAAATGAATAAAAATTAAGGTTTTTAGTGTTCGGACGATTGGAAATATTTGGAATTAGTTATGTATGTAAGTTAATCTTATATGGGGCTGAACTGCTCGTAGATTGTTCACACCCCGTATAGACTATGTGCTATACTTCTTGTTACCATGAAGTTGCGAGCGGCGGCGCAGGCGCACGGGCACGGGACATACGGCTAGGGGCTAGTATAGCTAATGTTGCTGTCAGTGTAATATGTAATACATTTCACTGACTATTGAGAGGTGTATAGAACTGTAATGTAAACAACCATGGGCTAGGTTGCTAAATTTAACCTATTGACTCCCAAAATGTGATTCACAATCTCGTGGTTGTTAGCCTACATTTAGTTTGATAATTTTCTAGTTCGTTTGTGGCCACAGTAAGCCAATGCATTTTATATTCGTGCCAATTAATGTAACAATGGTTTGTGAACCGCCCTTTTTGCTTTAAACAAATATTAAATCTTTGTTTTTTGAGATGTGTAAATTCTAAACTTTTAATAATTCCTCATTAATGAAGGATTTGAGTGAGTGCTTTGTAGATATCGGTATGTTGTGGGGTCGTCCCGAGTGAATGAGGGATCTACTCTGAGAATTTCGGACCAAATTTGGATTTTGTTATTCAAACTATCTGCTGCCGCCACTCGGAATTCTTTTTTGTGATATGTATGACTCTGACGTCTAACCAACTATAATAGAATGTTTATTAAATGAAAAGTTCGTTTCATTTCCACCCCTAAATAAAACAATCTTAGATGGAACCAAATGTTTATTCAAGACTTTATAATGTCGTGTGTGCGTTTTTATATTTTTTCTTTCAACAACATTGAACACATTTACTTTACGAAATCTCCTGTATACATATAACATTACTGGATGTTTATATACAAAAATGACTGTGATGCAAAGATTTAGATGTCATCTAAGCTTATAATCGCTAGGTTATTGATTTATAAATACAAAATGTATAACAATTAAATCGTTACGCTACTCATAAATTAATAACACAATTTATAATACTTGCGGAACGCGTGAGCAACTGGAGGGCTACTCCGAAACACTGTTTATGTAGTTCCGGGTCTATCTGTCACCGTCGCTCATGCTGGCATCTCGCTTTGCGTGAGAGGGATGGCAATATTCGAAACTTCGGATAACGTTTTTCGGAGTAACCCCCCTGATCGCCTGGGCGCGACGTTCGAGCGTTGGTACGGCCAGCACTTGTCGTAGCGTAGTGGCTTCCCGACATTTGCCGGCGAGTGAAGGGTTAAAAATAGACATTGCCCACGAATCCCCACTCATAGAAGCACTAGTAGGTTAACGAGTTAGGCAAGCAAACGCCTCATTATTATCTAGGCGAGCCACTATCTCCCCAATACCATTCCTTCAAAGCAATATTAGTCATGTGTATGGACATACTAATTTTACCCGTAACAAACAATGTCACATACACTTATTTTACACAAAGTATACCAGAGGTCGGTATGTTCCATTAGAGTAGAGCAAAAGTGGAAACAATTTTGGCAACAATAATTCAACATTATTATGATGTTGAATAATAATATTATTTTTAAATATTTTCTAAAATGCATTATAAGTCAGTACTATCATAAACCGTGCTAGCTATACATACTCGTCACGACCAATCGGTCTTCTCGCGCCCACCATCATAGTTGTGAACTTGTGATTTTTCAACGTTTACAAATAGTAGACAATTATGCATTTAGTGTGATCATAATTGATTGTTGAAATTAGGCCGTATTATATTGACAATACGTTTAAGAATTTTATTATTACCAAACACATTCGCCTTAGGTGTGTCTGCACACGATTGACGACTATTCACATTACGTTCTTGACTCGAAAATAGAAAAAGATTTGACTTTTTAAAACTCGCACAGCCAAGTGTACAGACACCGTATAGACAATAAACTTAGATATGATACGTGCTAGTACTAAATCACTTGCATTTAAATTTAAATATTCATATAAAAGTAATGTAAGGTACATAGATAAATGACTACTCGAATTCTAACTCTATTTAAATGGACACAGAAATACATTAAAATACATAAATTGTGCTGGCAAGAACGCCAGATCTTATTATTATGTTGATAGCATACATATTAAGATATTAAATATTATTATTATACTCCCCTATTTTCGTCCCCGTATGTATACATACTGCGATTAATCATTGTATATAGAAGAAAATTTACGATATCCACTATCATATTATTAGTTAATTATAATAAAATTGGTAAGTAATGAACATTTAATTTATTAAATATTAAATTTGATCACTAGGCCCACGTTTGGCACGAATCACTTGATACAATCAGCGCTAACAATACATATAATTTGCAACTGTCTCTAATTGGCCAATTCCATACATTTTAAATGCGTTGAACGCTAATTGAGTGTATATTTAACCGCAACGGAATCGGGCCTCAAAATACTTGAAAAACATCGCATGCACACATTATCATACATAAAAGTTATCAGAAATTGGAAGAACTATTTCACACAAATACTTTATGAATATGAAACCTATTCCAATTTAGCTAATCGCAAGTACGAAGAAACGGAACTCGTAGATGATTATCAACCCAATCATCTAAACAATAAGTATAGTTTTCGACTGAAAAAGCAATCGACGTATTATTTTATTCAAGAGATGGGTCGTCGATTGTAAGTAAATGAGCTGTCGATAACTAAATAAAACGATTACCACAGGTATGATCAAAAATTAAGGTCTGCCGACCGAAGTACAGCGCACATTAATCTTAGTGTAAAACGACATACACCAAGTAATCAATTGGTTATGTACAAAGCAGTTATAACTTTCAGACGTTATATTTACCCGTATTCACAAGAATTGCGTCTGCAAAAAAAGCAAACTGGCATATGAACGGAATTTGTAGTAATCATTTTTAACAAAAAGTATGATGGGTCCTTAATAAATGGTTAATATAAACTATAAAAATAGTGCTATAAATGCTTCTTTCCCAAAAAGTGTTGATTTTCAATGTTTTTTGTGAACACGGGTAATATGTATGAAGTAATCGTGTCTGCAATCACGCATCTATACGCCAATGACCCGTCAGACGTAAGTATTTTTCAATAATTAAATAAATAATTACGATAATATAATGTGATGATTTTAGTATATCATAAATTAAAGCTAGTATTTATTTATTTGGCGGTTCTTGATAAAATGCGCTTGTCAGACACGACTAGCAGCTAATTTACAGTTATCAACTAAGTACATCAGTCGGCACCTACGCTTTTCGACGGGGGAATAACACGACCAAAAAATATACAACAAAAATACAACTGATTTGCAACTATACACACAATATAATGGAATACACGTATGTCGTATAATGATGCCTGTTGTGGAATAACGTTCTTGTTCTACAACAGGCGTGATTGTACGACAAATATATCAAAAGTGGAATTGAAAACTGTTATAAAAACTATTTATAGTAAGACATTAAGCGAGCGTTCACGATTTAAGAGTAAAGTCGATCTCGAATCACAACCGTCTCCTGAAAACCTCCTATCGCTCACGCGTGGCGCCAGCGGCTACACTACACTATGCTAAGGTCGAATTCAGATCAATATTTTGACGTTTAAACCATAAAAAAGCACAGGGGAGATTGTACGTGTGGCGGAAAGTCTTGTCTATGATGAACTTCACGCTTGAGAGGTGTCTCTGATTTCTGATGTTAAGTATTCGGATACATAACAAAATTATAAAAACAGGTAAAATATTATTCATAAAACATTATTTTTATAGATGGATTGTATTTTTATAAAATTAAATCATTATAAAATTGGTTGCTTAACATAAGTGACGTATAAAATGACATGCTAGGTTTCAAGCAGCATCTCGATTTGGATGGTCTGCGACATTGATTTCATAAGACGAAAAACGATTTAACAGCTCTGTTAATATTAGCAAAAGTTTAGTTAATGACATATCAGGATTTCACAATCATAAGGTGAATATTTTATGTAGTCCACATGCAATAACATCTCTTCTCTTCTCTGTGTTTGTCTATGGAACAAATGTCAATTCACTGACCCGAAATACAAATTCAAAAAATTACAAACTACTTGCGAACATGCAGAGGAATCACAATGACGCCAGTGTTGCCGCTACCTTAAAACTAGTCACACTATCCTGATGATCTTGTAAATTAGATATCTTAGGTAAATTGATAGAAATAGAACACGATTAGGTACTGTAGTATGAGCAACAATATATGCAGACATGATAATAACTATTCTAAGATATTTCCATACTATTACCCTAAATATGTTGCTTAAATATTTTGCTGAGATAAATATTCGTCATATTTGGAGCCATTTATATAACTTCTAAAAAAGAATGGTTAAGAACCAATAGTATATTATGTTGTTACTGATTAAAAAATAGTACTATAGAAAGTATCCTGCCTGCTAATACTATTCTACGAGCTAGATGGTGATTATAACAAAAAGGGCCGTGGAGTTGGTACTACATATTAATTTCTTGCCAAAGCTTGTTCAAAATTAAGCCATATTTAAAACCAAAATAGATAATAAACCTAGTGAGATTTCACTGGGTATTTGAATGAAATGTAGCGACTAGCGCATAATAAAAACTAAAATAATTTCAGGGCCCATTAAAGTTTTATTTCATTCGATGTTGTGTTTGATTTGATTTGAATAAGCTTCTTTCTCTATCTAAGATATATTCTGATTCATTATTCAGATGAACTTTGTTCATGTTCATTCATTATTCAGATGAACTTTGTTCATCTGAATAATGAATGAACTAGTAATCTGTAAGCGATTACACTTGAGTGTCCTAAGATATCAACCATTTGACAATTTCAAAGTCTGAGTAGAGATCCAACTCCGCGGCGTTTATAAATTTACAAAACCATACTTGTTAGCGTGGCAACACTGCGCTCACTCTTCGGACACAGTGTCATTAGTGTCATTGGTGTCATTAGTGTCAGACTGAGCGTCCGCGCCGGCGGTGGCCTCCGAGGGGTCATCGTCCTCGGTGGTGTCGGTGGCTTGGGACTCGTCCTTCTCCTCAATGGACGCGTGTTCGTTGCGAAGGCTGGCGCCGCCGCACTCGCCCGTCGGCCGCAGTACAAGGTACATGAGCAAATCCGACAGGGATATGATGCCGATCACTTTGTCGTCTTCGTCTACAACGACTAGACGATGCACCTGTAAATTTTAATGATTACGTTATAATAAATAATAATAAATAAATAATAAATATCCTTGGACATTTTTACACTGCGCCGCTAGTCCCAAACTAAGCAAAGCTTGTACTATGGGTAAGTACTAGACAACGGATATAAACATACTTAAATACTTTTTTTTTAAATACATACATATTATACATAGAAACACCCAGACCCGTCACAGAAATTAAAATTCATCATTTCAATTTCTGCCCTACCGGGAGTCGAACCCGGGACCTCTCGGCATAGTAGGCCGTTCTGAACCACTACACCAAACGGCCGACCAAAGTTTAGAATTTCAAGGTCACCCAAAGGGCGATGGAGCGGGCTATGCTCGGAGTTTCCCTGCGTGATCGAATCAGAAATGAGGAGATCCGCAGGAGAACCAAAGTAACCGACATAGCTCGCAGAATTCCTAAAATCAAGTGGCAGTGGGCGGGTCACATAGCTCGTAGAGACGATGGCCGTTGGGGCAGGAAAGTTTTCGAGTGGCGACCACGGGCTGGAAGACGTAGCGTGGGCAGGCCTCCTACTAGGTGGACCGACGATCTGGTAAAGGTCGCGGGAAGAGCCTGGATGCGGGCAGCGCAGGACCGTTCAATGTGGAAAACCTTGGGGGAGGCCTTTGTCTAGCAGTGGACGTCATTTGGCTGAAACGAACGAACGAACGTTTAGAATTTGTCTGTGTGAGCCTATAGGCGGTTTTTAGAATCGCGCAGACCGCTCGCTGATCGTCGGCGCTGACAGATCAATATGAATGTATTTGAAGGGAACGTTCCTGAGTGACGCTGATCGCTCGGCGCCGACGCTTCATACATTTCGGCTGTCAGCGCTGACGGTCAGCGTGCGTCAGCGTGACTCTAAAACCAGTCATAGAGCGCTTTCTTATTTAGGCGACTTAGCAGCGCGACAAACGCGCAACTTTCATACTATGCGGATTACCTGCCTTCACATTATAAAAACGCCGCTGCCGCGCTGCTGTCGCGCTTCTTACGTCCTAATATGAAAGCGGCCATAAACGAGTGAAGGGGATATATGCGAAAAGATCGTCGTTCTGCCTCCTTCCTAAAATTGCTGGGTCCACATGTATAAATAACTGTTTAATTTGAAACACTTAATGTGAATGTGCTATAAACAATTGAGTATTGGGGTATACTGGCCGACTCGTCATCCGAGGAACGCGGGTTCAAACCCCGCTACCGCTCGACTATTGTGGTGAGCCCACTCGTGACACAAGCATGTTTAGTACGAGGGACTAACGGGACTAACGGGACTTACACCACTTATAACTCAAGAACGGCTGAACCGATTTAGCTGAAAATTGTCAGGGAGGTAGTTTAGAGCCAGGAGAAGGACATAGGATACTTTTTATCCCGTTCGAAATTAAAAAAAAGTCTGCTTATTTACTGCCATTAAGGCGGAACAAAGTTCGCCGGGTCAGCTAGTTCTTTATAAAAAAGGTATCTTCAATCTTTGTTTGCTTTCAATGGAAGTCAAGCTGTAGATCCTAGCTATACAGGAGTTGCAGTGGTGGGAAGGTGTGGTGGATTAAGTCCCAACAATGTCTGGAAAACATTGGGGAGATATGCTCAGTAGGAGACGTCCTTTGGCTGAAATGACAAAGTACCTAAAGTTTTACGCCCGTATTCACAAACATTACTATGAGGTCTCACAGTGCGCGTGGACTCACGGGGTGACACACGAACCAATCACAGAGCTCTATTCGCTGTGCGTTCGATTTGTTGCTTCACTTAAGAAAGCGTCGTTTGTTAATACAGGCGTTAATTTTTTTTTATCCACAACGAGGAAGCTCTTGGCCTGTATCTCACCTGATGGTAAGTGACAATCAGGCCGAAGTTGGAAGCGAGCTTCATCCGGAATCCTCAACCACGGAGGAACTGGTTATCTTACCTCTAACTGCCGGAACACAACAATGCTGTTAACACTGTTGTTATGGCGACAGACTTAGGTAAGATGGTGGTAGCTAGCCAGGCGGACAACAAGCCCTACCACCAACCAAACCGAACAGAAAAAACTGCCCCCACTGGGAATCGAACCCGGGACCTCTGCGTCTGAAGCAGGTGGTCTTACCACTAGACCACAGAGGCGGTTGAAAATAAAATGACTGAGGCTAAGAACTCACGGCGCGATTACAACCGCGCCCGCTGCGGGCGAAAACCGCGTCGTGAGTTGTGCATTAGTTTTTACATCAGTACTGCATTCTACAGAAGCTGCGGGCCCGCAACCGCTACGGGCGCGGGTGAAAATCGCGCCATGAGTTCTTAGCCTTACCACAAAATAATAATAAGTACTACGTACAGAAGATTTTCTTCGGGAATGTATTTAAAAAATGTATGCTCAATGTCATTAACAATATGGTGTAATTTAGCTTGTCTCAAGAGTCAAGCACCATTTTCTTGATAAACGTCAGTGATCGGCGCTGAAGCCATAGGGCTGACTTCGGTAAAATGATGTGTGACGTGAGGTGCCAAACTGCAGAAAATGGCGGAGGAAATACATGATTAAGCATGAATTATCATGAATAATATTAACCACTTATTTACCTCTCAGTGTCTTCAGGCAACTTAAAAAAGTACATTCTGTGTTTTTATTATTATTTAGGCAGTTAAATACTGCACAGTATTTAGTACACCATTTTCTTTATTTTTTTCCATCATACACAAGAATACGCGTGCGTGAGTCAATGCTCGCTCGTATGTGAGGTCTTGTCGAATAGTAATCCTGTAGGGTGCCATCGTGCTTGTTTTGTTTTCGATGTAAACTCGCGGAGATGAACAGGCCTGGCCTTACCTCTGCACGCACGATCCGTTCCATAACGTCAAACAGTGTCTCGTCGAGCGTGCACTTCTGGACGCCCTCGAACCAGTCGTTGCGGTGCTCGTTGGCGGTCTTCAGCGACACGTCAAGGTTGTTGTACGTCTTCTCTGCCGCCAGGTTCTGGAAACAAATAAAAATAAATAAATATCCCTGGACACATTTTACACTACGCTTCTAGTCCCAAACTAAGCAAAGCTTGTATTATGGGTACTAGACAACGGATATAAACATACTTAAATACTTTTTTTTTTGTAAATACATACTTATTATACATAGTAACACCCAGCCCCATCACAGAAATTAAACTTCATCATTTCAATTTCTGCCTGGCCGGGAATCGAACCCGGGACCTCTCGGAATAGTAGTCCGTTCCGAACCACTACACCAAACCGACTATGTATAAATGCCACGTGGTAAGTAACTAGTATTGATATTTTGGGCAAATATTAACAAACGTATTATATTTCAGACTTCACACATTACAGCAGGGCGAGAGAGAGAAAAATGTTCGGCCAACATGAAACGTTTAAACTAAACAATAAAGCCAACATAAAGAAATATAATGGTTGCTTTCTCATTTACCAACATAAAGGTTATAGAAAATATCTTGCTAAGCCGACATTTTATTTTATTTATTGGGACATCGATTGACCAAACTCGCTTAGAATTTTTTTTATTTCCATATTCTGATCAAAAAGGTTCAGGCATTGATTGAGAAACTAGAGTTCTAAAGACTATTCCTTCATGGTCATCAGATCAGTCAATAGCACAAGATCTATTGAGAAGATTTATTCTTAATCCTCATGTCAAAAGAGAGATGGATAGAGTAACATTGGGGCCGTCCATAAATTACGTCATCGATTTTTTCAGATTTTAGACCCCCCCCCCTACAATCATCCTATCGTCATTTCTTAATGACCCCCCCCCCGAAGAGAGGAAGAAAGAAAGAAAGAAGAAAGAAAATACATTTATTTGGCACACTAGAACAACAAATTACAGAATGTTAATACAATAAAAAAAATTAATTTAAAAATTATGCCAAATAGGCTTCCACTCAGCATAATGCCGCAGTGCGTAGCACCACGACGCTGGTTTTCAGTGGTCGCCTGATTGTAGTGGTGGAGAGGCGCAGGTAAACATTAAAAGAACAATACGCAACTGAGCAACGGTGACACATACACATTTTGGCATAAGTTTAAGTAAGGCAGAAACAATAAACATGACAATGATAATAAGAATAACAAGGCACAAGATCAGATACCAACAGTAGATACGTGCAAACAGTCCCCAAAATTGTTACGTGCAGAACTACATCAGTTTTTCATCGAGGAGAGAGAGAGAGAGAGAGAGAAAATCAAAATAAAAATAGAAGCTAGAGAGGAGAGGGAGATGTGAAGAAAAGAAAGTAGAAATAAAGAACGAGAAAGAATTAGAGAGAGATTAAAGACACATGATGACGTCGAACTTGGCGTAGAAATATTTGAGCTGCCGGCGCGGATACGCCTCAATTGACGAACTTGCGTAGCGCCAGGATGATGGAAGTCTCCTCGGCGGCTGTCTCTATGGCACGCAGAGAGAATGAGAGAGAGGGGGAGAGAAAGAGAGGAGAGAGATAGAGAGAGAGGAGAGAGAGAGACTCACGATGACGTCGAACTTGGCGTAGATGTCCTTGAGCCGGCCCTCGGGGTCGACGAGCGGCAGCGCGGACACGCGGCGGTTGACGAACTTGCGCAGCGCCTCTATGATGGACGTCTCCTCGGCGTCTGTCTCTATGGCACGCAGAGAGAAAGAGAGAGAGGGAGAGAGAGAGAGAGACTCACGATGACGTCGAACTTGGCGTAGATGTCCTTGAGCCGGCCCTCGGGGTCGACGAGCGGCAGCGCGGACACGCGGCGGTTGACGAACTTGCGCAGCGCCTTGATGATGGACGTCTCCTCGGTGGCTGTCTCTATGTTAGAGACAGAGAGAGAGGGAGAGAGAGAGAGAGAGACTCACGATGATGTCGAACTTGGTGTAGATGTCCTTGAGCCGCCAGTGCGGATACGCGGCAGTTGACGAACTTGCGCAGCGCCTCTATGATGGAAGTCTCCTCGGGGCTGTCTCTATGGCACTCAGAGAGAAAGAGAGAGAGGGAGAGAGAGAGAGACTCACGATGACGTCGAACTTGGCGTAGATGTCCTTGAGCCGGCCCTCGGGGTCGACGAGCGGCAGCGCGGACACGCGGCGGTTGACGAACTTGCGTAGCGCCTCGATGATAGACGTCTCCTCGGTGGCCGTCTCGATATCGTTCAGCGTGCCTATACGCAGCTCGCGAAGCTTGCACTGCAGGTACGCCGGCTTTGGCAGTTCATTTATCTGAGAGAGAAATAGAAGGTTATAAAAATTAGGATCGTCTTCAACAATGTCTTCAATGGTAGTCTTCCTTCAAAATGGATGCTTGATTTTTAAAATCGTTTGAAATCATTGCAATCCCGTCGTTTTTTTTTTTATTTTCATCCCGGACGAGCCCCCAATTTGTAGGAATAGAAATGCAGTTCTAATTACCACGTATTTATTATAGAAAAGATAGAAAATAATAAAAATAGTAAATGAAAACAATCGTCGTTCGTCTACACGTCGTTGTACGTCACACTCACACACTCTTCCTTCTCTTTCACACATCCTTACGTTCCGTTTCGCACTCATACCCTACATTTATTTGCCGTATATTGCCACTAGCGTAGAATAGGGTCACTCCCAATCTTCCTGTAGTAAAATCCACTCGAGAGGCGACTAAGGGTTAAAAAACGAATATCCGAAATAACAATAGATAGGGTTGGTGATCAGGATGCGGATCGCATCGTGCAACCGAGTGCGGCCCGATGCAAGTGTCTTGCATGGACGCAGCCTTAGAGACAACACTCACATATAAGAAGAGGAAGCGCAGTATCCTCTTGTGCGTGAGGATGTACAGCACGTTCCCGGTCTCCGGGTCTATGACGGGCAGGCGGTGGATGCGGTTGGTGATCAGGATGCGGATCGCATCGTACAGCGACGAGTCCGGCCCGATAGACACTAGCGGCATTACTGAACCTTTCAGCACCTCTGGAAGGTAAAGGTTAAAAATAATAAAGAAACCTCTCTAAAAATATTTTTACTCGCAGTCTTGTAGATTATTTTGTACAATTGAAAGCGGCTCAGTACAGCGTATCAAGCAATGAGGGTTTTCGCGAATGAAAAATCCGCCAGATGGCAATACGTAGATATGCAAGGTCCAAATGCTGCATGATTGACAGATATGTCAAAATCCACCAATCACGCAGCAGTCAGACCCCACATCCACGTCCCGCCATCTAGCGGATCTTTCATTCGCGAAAACCCTCATTGAAGTAATTAAAGAAGTAGGTTAAAAGTCAAATTAAAATATGTTTGCCTCCAGGCCCTAACGTCTCTAACAGGATTAAAGGCAAATAACCGGGACAAACTTGTCACGTGCCTTCTGCAGATGATGATGCAAATCATCATATCGCAATATATCAAGCGATATTCACGCCACGGCAATATAAATCAATATTGCCGGCAATTTTGCTAGTTTTCAAGCAGTATACTTACGTCGCCATGTCTCAAGGCGGTGCTCCTCCAACTCCTCCATGGCTACATTGGGACTGGTGTAGTACATCTGCAGGATCTTGATGAAGTCCGTTATGGTCAGCATGCCGACGTAGTTCTGCCGCTGCGAGTCCCATAGGGGCGCGGCGCGGACGCCTGTCGACAAAAACAGTGACGTCATGGCGGGGAATCAACTACACGTGTTTAAGTCAGTAAACTTCACACAAACCGTGACTTTCCGCAGACTAGTTTTAGTTGACCGATAGTTTGGTCGCCTTCCAATTCATATGAGAAATCAGCCGATACCAAATCGATGTAATGCAAGACTGAACTATCGGCCGATAAAGTCTGTAGTCTGCGAAGACTCAAAATAAATGAGTGAAACCTACACAATAGTTCATTGAAATACTTTTTAAGACTGTCAAAATATAGATAAGACGTCACTAGTTTGGGAACTCAATTGAGTATAGGTACATTTGAAAACTAAGTCGATTTACGTGGTTGAATTACTTTAAAGAAAGTGTATCGGACATGGTTAGTGGTAGGTAATATGATTCAATTTAAAATAGTTTACATGCTTTCCATTAAATAAATCGATCTATTAAATTAATAGAGATGTCTACTGGAAACATAATAATGAAGAATTTTTGTACTTCAACCTCGAAATATTATTTTGGTGCACGTAGTAATTTTCCGAATTCCGAATTTGGCTTTATCGCAATGTAGGTACTTACATACGACACGCACAATTGTTACGTTTTAAAATTAAATGGCTAGTACAGGAAAATGAAAGGATTTTAGTGCTCAAAAGATTATCGTAAAATGTTTTAGTCCATTATTTCCGGCTGTTATCAAGTTCGTAAACATAGTAATAGAACAGTCGAATATGAAAATATTTATATTTGAGTAAAATGTTTGCAAATACGATGGTCCCTTCCCTAAACAAGCTTATTGAATCCCATTGCGGTAAAAAGCGGAGGATATAACCACACATTTACTTTATTATAATGTTAGTGGCAACATTGGCATCGAAAGGAACATCGTTCAGATCGTTTTCTTCACTCGATTACTCGCGTGCGTAATCGATGATTACAGGCCCAATTTTTCCCGACATGAAGACCGTACGTGTCTTCACGAAGGCGTGTGAAAGGAGTCTTATAAACGTTGAGTGAGGTCCGAATTACGCGAGGAATTCTATTTACAAAGGCCTTCCCTATTTTATTGATTGTTATATTCGAACACGCTACGTAGATAATGTAGAAATGCAGAAATTGTATATTTGTATTTCTCCGAGCATTATCAATACGAATTAATTTACAATCTCCACTGTACCAAGTGGCTCCTACAAGTTCCACGTCTATTGTTTAGTAGTTGGAAAAGTATTAAAGATTATTTGTACATTGTATGTTGCACAATGACTTCGTAGAGTCGCGGTGTAGTATTGCAGGGCGGCACAAATCATCTAAGTATAGCATTATGCGTGCAAACGATTCACTCTATGGTCCATCTACTCGTATCATGGTTTCACCAGTGTAGTGAGCGTACTTTTAATATTATAGATTGACAGGTGATCTCTTAAGCCAACATGAAGAACTAGGAGTGAACCAAAGAATACCTAATCAGTTTAATTTATCGACCTGAGCTAACAATCTATACAGTTGGGTAACGAAGTCAGTTTGACAGCAACAATGCTGAGATGTACAATGGAGGCCCGAGCATGTTTCAACGCTAAAACAACATTATCGCAACATCACAATAAAGGACGTCCTGTTCCCAACGAGTCACACTGAAACGAGTAACACTGTTACTCGTTGGGAAAAAATTCCCATCCTGTCACACTATTACTGGTTCAAACATTAAGTACCTTTAATATAAGAATATAAGAGATTTATTTATAAAGAATTAATGTACAAAATACGTTAAAAATTAAAATTTTACAAACATTTAAGTAATCTAAAGCTTACTGTAAGAAATTTCAGGTTGACCCTCAGATCATAGGTAGACCGAAGAGTAACGGTGTGACTTGATGGGATTTTTTTCCCAACGAGTAACAGTGTTACTCGTTTAGGTATGACTCGTTGGGAACAAGCGAACGACGCGCTTCGTACCACCGTATGGATCGTTACACTTAGGCAATATTACCTCAAGAAACAATACGAACCACTTCCACTCAGTGGAGATTGCACTATTGAATTGTAGAAGTAGAAATTCACGGTTCATTTGCCAATAATAATAACTACAATACAACCGGGAAATCAAAACAGTCGCAAGAGTTTCATGCTGTATAAAAGGATAGTTTTATAGGCATTCGATCGAGTCGAACAAAGTTTGACATTTGTTGCGCAATCAAATCACTACATTTCTTCCACTGCGAGTTATATTAGATAAATAGAAAGTATTTATTTGTCTCAAAACAGGTTAAATTTACAGTTTATCACAGGATATAATATTATAGTGGTACATTAGGATCGTAATTGAAATTTTTATGCTTACTCAATTGGATCTGAACTGGTTAACAGGTGACCTTTATCTTTATCAATCCTATATCAGACACGTGGATGATTTTACTTATCAGGTTTATGTCCCTAATTTAGGCAATCGTTATTCATAAAACCATTAATTTTGAACCACGTCATTAATAACAATTGGAGGTGACGTTTGAAATGACAAATTAAAGTCATTACTTTCACGGAAGCTCGACCAAATGCCTGCTAAAAACTGTAGATTTTAAGTGACAAATTCCGCAATTTGCTTAATACCTTTTAATAATAGCTCGATTGTGTGGTATTACTTAGGGAATGGCATTGTCTGGAACGATATACACCTTGGTTTCCGTGGCAAAGCGGCCGTATTGTTTCTTAAGGTTCCCCTCGTTCGACGGTTCCATTCGCTGTTTAACATAAACCACAATGAGTGTTAATTGGACAATTTCATTTCGGAATTCGCTTGGCAAGTGCGCAGTATCTTTATCATCGAGTTTGAAATAAAAAAAAATAACAATGGATGTAGTCATCGATTTCGCATTGCTATCACATCGCTTAGCATAATACAAACAACATGAATGTTCTAGCACGCACAAGCATAAGTGACTAGCACGGAACGTAACACATAACCCATGTGCATAATATAATAATACAAAATATGCAGGTCTGCCGGGGGCCGCATGCAGGTGCCTATATCGTGCCAACACAATAGGATACAATACGAGAGCTATAAAACTAAGTGCCAGCTACAGTCTCTACTAACTCGCTCATTTTATAAACATGGAATCATAGCAGTCTAAGCCGATGCATTAAAACTGTATTGTTTGTTAAATGCAGCGGTCGGAATGATAGGCGTGTGGTGAACACCAGAGAGGAAACTCGTTTGTAACAATGCCATTCGCAGAGCGGGTAAACTACAACTAATTTGTTAATTAATTAAAGGCAACATTTGTATGGTAACTGTGTAGTTTCGGGAAGCATTTAAAGGCACTACCTGCTAGCAAACGTGCATTGTAAGTCGACAGCACATCAGACTGTAACATTGTTGTTGCAAAATAGCACCAATTACGAGGACATAAGCTGCCTGCATTGTTTCGTTTGGTGTGCCGTCGCCGTACATTCATGATAGGTTGACTTAATAATGTTACAAACCGTTGTAGACGAGCGCGAAGAACGCTTTCTTGACGAGCAGCTGAGTGTCGAAAACCACCAACTTGGCTGAAGTTGGTATCAAGTCGTAGCACTTGTGGAACTTGAAGAACTTCACGAAGATCTGCGACTCATCCTCCTCTGGAAAAGACATTTTATTGGTTTAGTAATAAGGTCGGTCTGGCTTCGGTGAACACACGTCAGGTCGTGGCAGCCGGCTAATTGTTAACTGAAGGTTGGTGACTGGCGTCGCCGCAAAAACGAATTAAATTTTCTTTTCCTTTTTCTGTCGAATGTCAAGGGTTATTCGCAGATATCAGTTAGGTAATCTGGATGAATATTGTGATTCACAATGGTTAACTGAAATTACTGTAATACAAAGTAATCTGAGAGCAAAAAGATAGAATAGATACGATTGCAACATTGGCAGTAGCCTAGCTCGCAGAATAGCTTAAAACGTGGTATATGTATTATCCAAGGCGATATTAAAATTTGCAGAAGACTTTTCCTCTTTTTTTAACCTCAGTTCGCTCCAGTGGCTGTGGTAAGTTGAATTTTTAATATTTTACATAAGTATTATACCTATATTTTCAACCCTTACGCCGCTAAATTTAGATTTGACTAGACGTTCGAATAATGGACCCAATTTTGTTTTTTTTTATGCATAACAAGGCAGGTATTTGACCACAATCGCACCTGATGTTAAGTGGGATGCAGTCTAGGATCAGTCTAGGATAGTCAATTGTCCTAAAAGGACTTCATCGTTTATCATACTCGTAGACCATAAGACGGAGTTTCAATTAGTGTTGAAAGCTTATTGATTGCTCCTGCAATAATGTTAATTTACAAATTCATAAGTCCAAATGATTTACATTCAATGTCTATTCGACCAAAACCGTAGTCAAAAATTATTCAAATGCAAAATATCAGTGACCTTGAAAACAAATATAAACTTATGTACGGATTTGGATGGCCCGCTCGTTTTTTATATCAAGGCGAACCAGAATTTGAAGGAAATATTCACACTTTAGGCGAGCGAAGTTTGGTTACTTTTTTAATTTCCGGCTCCATACAGTTTAACGATTTCATTATACGCCACATTGTTATTGCTCGGCGATAACATTAGAACTTGATATTGCAGAAATTGTGTTACAGATTCTTGCGCTTACAATATTTGCAGTTTAAAAACTTTTTCCATGATAGGCTTTGTGTCCAAAAGTTGGTCTAAGAGACGTATAACATTTTACATTTAAATCTGCTTGAATCTCAAATTGATATTTTAAAATGTCTTTTCCATGACTCCTAGTTTTGTACACTTTTATTGAAATTGTCCATACAAAACTTGCTCACAAAACACCTTCATCGTCTAGGTAGTGTTTAGAGTCTAGAGAGTAACACTTTTTTGGTAGATTCAGGATGCGTTCTCAGGTAGATGATGACACACAGAGTGGACTTTGTATTTTTACCGTTTGGTTACCATACGACATTATGGTCTCAAATCAACGTAATTGCGTCCGAAAATAAAGATGATTCGGTGCCGGACATGTGAGCGCGTCGGTCCAATTGAAGTCTCTGGCGGTTGATAACCGACGACAATCTTGTGGTGGTGACATGTTGTTATAACCCAGGTCAGAAGACGTTCGTTGGCTCCTTAATGTTTTAAAATCAAGACTTTAATCATCGTATTTGCTTTATTAGTGGTTGCATGCCTAAGCTTCTGGCATAGTTAGCATGCACTTAATAGAATACTTGTGTCACGCCTGAAAACCGATATCGCCGTATGCTCGCATACCGAAGCCGTAAGGCAATACGATACACTCCTGATTAATATGATACGTCTGTATGCCCTAAAGCAGGAAACTCATTACACATTAGCACGCTCGTGACCCACACAAAGGAAGGAGGAATTCGTTAATTAGTAATAACACATCCTTCTATAGAAGCCTTAGTGTCAGGGAGCTTGTTAACGTACGAAATCAAACTGCATTTTGTCTCTACCAAATCAAACCTCATATATAATACTTATAACACTTAAGACGTTGACCCACTACTTTAGTAACGCACACAGAAAATTATAACGTTACCGATGTTACCGTAGTTAAATAACAACATTATGCGGACAAAACGGGCGTAACGAAACCGGTATTCTTCCGTTCACAAAAAACCGAACTTTAAAACTCATTGAGCCAAGTCCTGCTACGTTGTTGAGGAATTTATACACGCGTTTAATTGCCAGCCGTAAATACTTGTGGTGTTGCTACTGTAGAAATAGAAAACATGTTCTTGTCTCGTCTTTGGATTACATACACACTTTGGTCAATGATAAATTATCTCTCAAGCCTGATGGATGACACACATGAAGTTAGTTACTACCTAAATTTTAATGTAATTAAAAGCTTTTATTTTTTATGCTGGTATCACTTTCCTATGACTGGTTGTAACTTGTAGATTCTATAGCTTCGCCTTGCAGACAAAGCTAACACGCTACGCTAACTTTTCAAAGGTATTTCCACAAGTACAAAGTACTACAAAGCAGTAAGTATGATAACTTTTTCGGCTCTATATTTTTTTTATTTCCTCTAACATTTATTCGTTTATTTTAATTAAAACCAAGCATCAGCTTCCACTAACATTGTCTGAACTTACCTTACTAGATCCTGGCTTTGGAAAATTAGTACCTACTTAATATACAAGTGATAATTATACAGTGTGAGTCACGTTAAAGTGTACATATGAAAATAAATGAAACTAGACCTATTTTTATCGACAAAAAAGAGGTCAAAAATTTTTTGAGATTTTTTTTTAATTTTTTATAGAATTTTTTTTCTTCTAATTACTTATTGTAAAGAAAACCTAATAACTATTAAACTAAGCGGTATATCCTGATAAAATAAAAACAGTAATAATGCTAAATAACAGGCAATACTAAATAAATACATAAAATACATAAAAAAGGCCAACAAATAATAAAAAAATAAACTTTTTGAAAAAAATCTGCTTTTAAATTCGTGTTTTTTTGGTTATTTGATAAATTTCTCCAAAAAATGCCCCTATAACCGGTGGTTTTTATTACTTTGTATTTTTCTCTATCGTATTACCTTCGTAAAACCAAAAATCGCATGTCTCTATCCCTATCACAACGTTTGCAATGATCGTTTGAACTAAGCCTCTCCGGGCGCGCCATTCAACGCTTCGTTAACAACGAAACTGAAAATGGCTCTAGATTTGTTATTTTGATAAAGACAAGTTAGATTTCAAATAAAAACAAAAGATTTCAAAGTAAAATAAGCATTTTAGTTAAAATTAAAATTGTCTCTAACTGTAGCGGAGAAAAATGTTGTGGCAGGCCTTTGTTCAAACGATCATAGCAAATGTTGTGATAGGGATAGAGACATGCGATTTTTGGTTTTACAAAGATAATACGACAGAGAATAATACAAAGTAATAAAAACCACCTATTATAGGGGCATTTTTTGGAGAAATTTATGAAATAACCAAAAAAACACGAATTTTAAAGCAGATTTTTTTCAAAAAGTTTAATTTTTTATTATTTGTTGGCCTTTTTTGTGTATTTTATGTATTTTTTTTAGTATTGCCTGTTATTTAGCATTGTTACTGTTTTTATTTTATCAGGATATACCACTTATTTTGAAAGTTATTACGTTTTCTTTACAATAAGTAATTGGAAGAAAAAAAATTCTATAAAAAAATAAAAAAAAATCTCAAAAATTTTTTGACCTCTTTTTTGTCGATAAAAATGGGTCTAGTTTCATCTATTTTCATATGTACACTTTAACGTGACTCACACTGTATATCCAGGCAAAACGTCAAAATCGTATCTACCAAATATGCATGTGTACTATGTCATACCGTACAAAAATATTTGTTGAGGTCGTACGTAAGAATTTAACAGACGCAATTTATTTATAGCCATAACAAAAAGATTTACGATCATCATACAACAGTAAAACATAAAACCTCAATGATAAGTGTCAAGGCAAATATAAAGAAAAACGCCGGACAACACACAACAACTTCTTGCGATATACGAAGTAAAAAGTCTTACATAGTAAGTAGGTAGTCCCGGATCAGCAGGGTTAGTCCCTTCCCTATCCCTAACGCCGCGGTTTCGAGACCATTTGTCACTGTCACTCATATTGGCATCTCGCTTTGGGCGAGAGTGATGGAAGCATTCGAAATTTCGGCTAAAGTAGATGGAAGTAGCTCACAGTTTGTTTTTGGGCGGTGCACCTTGATGATTATTTAATCTATTGTTTTATTTATTCTGTACTTTAAGATACAAGTACGAGTACTGCATGAACTTGCGTGCCTGTTAGTGGCTTTTAGCGACCAAAACATATCCATCGGTTCCGTCTTTGTTCACACTTAAGATTAGTAAATATTAGCTTAGTATTTAGTGCCTTAAAATCATACGAGTACTCGTGTAGTTAGTTAAAACACCCCTAACCTGAGGCTTAACTACAACACAGTATCTAGCTCTGAAGGTTTTTGAAAGAAAAATACTAGCCGGGATTTTCATAAAAAAATCTTTTAGCCACCTTTATCGGCACATACTGTTGAAAATAACCGGTAAGCTTCGAATTTCATTTTTAAAGTGTCGCGTCAATTTTCAATTTCCAAAGAGTGGTGTTCAAAGGGTGCCATACCGATCTGTGATGAAATCAGGGGCTGCCACTGAATCAATTAACAGCTGACTTGTGTGATCAATTTTTAATCGCCAACTCGATTTTTAAACACCAACGATTTTTAACACGTTGGGTGCTTCGGAAGCGTATGAAATATAGTTGTCCAACACTGAACCGTCCCAGCTACGACAATGACAGGAGGGCGCCACTATCATAATTGGGTTAATAGTTCCAATTTTTGCCACGTTGGACAACACATTGAAGTGTCCCACCCATATAATTATGACATGTACGTACAGGGGGGCGCTATCAACAATAATGAGTTATTTAGTTCCGATTTTTGCCACTTGATGTTTCAGAATCGCTTGACTATTCATAAGTGTAACTGTATACCTTTACGTGACATTTTTTTTTTTTTCACAATAACTAGGCGCTCTCTGACGGTGACATCTAACTGTAGTGTGCACGCCGTCTTAGAAAATACGTACGTCTGTG